GTAGAACCCCTCATTTACGTACGGGACGGGCCCAAAGGTGTTCGTAAAAATCATTCGTACGTAAAATCGGGGTTCCTATGTATTTACACTACCGATATGCTAGGCTGGGCTAGGCTAGGCCTGGACTTAAATTTTGTTGGACTGGAGCCAAAACTCCAACTTGCGCTCGAAAGAAATTCAAAATAACGATTATAATAATGTACAGTACTATACATACTTGTTAATGTGTATAGAAACTTTATTCTCTCTTTCTCAGGCAATAATATATGACTTATCTTCTAGCTTACGAAGAAACACAGCCCAGTGGGCGCCGCAACAGGGCGAGTAACCAACGTTTTTCACTCGATCCATGTGGTTGTGGCGTCATGTAAATACCCTGTACAGAATAACCCGGAAACCATGGGTTCTCAACTTTTTAAAAGAAGAGCGCTGATTGGCTGTAGACACGGCGCTTGGACTTTTTTTGTATGCAATATGATTGTTCTACACCTGCATTTATTAAATGAATAATAAAGTTATAAAAAGAAAATGTGGGTGTCAGTGTCTTATTTTATGGGGGAAATAATGAAATGGTAGATTAACGTTAGTTGATTTGATAAATAAATTCCATTCATAATTAGGGGTTCATTAAATTACGATATGAGGGTGGTGTATTCAGAGATGAATAAATCATGCGCCTATCGATTTGCCGACAAGTTACGCATTGGGCAGAGTTTTCTCACGGCTGCAGACATAAAGTAGGATTGCCGTGTTAAATGTTGGTGTATTCAAAGCACACTATCTGTAGTAGAGGTCGCTGATAGTGTACAGCAAACCGTCTAAGACCGAGTGAATAAACTCTAGCCCGCGCCTAACGATTAATTCTTGACACGGGTGTGTGTTTTGTTCATGAAATAGGAACTTTTTATGACAACAATTACATGATTTTACGTTCGTAAAATCGGGAATTCGTAAAATCGGGGTTCGTAAATGAGGGGTTCTACTGTATCTATATATATATATATTTTAACTTTTTTTCTTCATTACTCATGACTGGAAATTAGAACTTTTTGAGGATAAGAAAATGACTTAATGTATATAAGCATAGTGTAAATCTTTAGTAAGTAGGTCCTTAGAAATTACTTTATTTAAAACTGAAGATTTACAATATCATGCAGGAAAAAATCAACATTAAATCATTTATTGAAGTTGCTGTACCTAAATTAAGTAGACTTCAGCTACGGTTTCAGTAGCATTGGTCACGCAAATGACCTAACGTGTAGTGTCGTCATTCATCATATCTGTGGTAGTAATAGCGCCATCTATCTTCTTGTTATCAACTTTTCGCTGGTGCCCACTCCGGATATTTTGGTGTTACGTTTTAGTAAGTGGTCGTAGATGTGTCTCAGTTCATGTCCACCTTAGTCTCTGTTGACTTTAAATATTTATGAAACCAGATGAAATTATTTGAGAATTGAATATCATGAATGAGCAATTTTTCTTTTCTGCTATTCGTTTGCGCCTATCTAATAATTATGGTTCATTTTTCACTGGTTGACTTTTGCTCCGTATGCTATGCTACTGTAGGACAATCCTGGTAAACCCTTCGTGAGTTTATGTTTGCCAATCTTCTGAATTCTGTAGTAGTAATAATAATAATGTTACATTTTTATAGCATAATGCCAGAGCTTCTGTATGCTTACATAAACAGAAAATAATGTATATAAGCATAGTTTAAATCTTTAGTAAGTAGGTCCTTAGAAATTACTTTATTTAAAACTGAAGATTTACAATATCATGCAGGAAAAAATCAACATTAAATCATTTATTGAAGTTGCTGTACCTAAATTAAGTAGACTTTAGCTACGGTTTCAGTAGCATTGGTCACGCAAATGACCTAATGTGTAGTGTCGTCATTCATCATATCTGTGGTAGTAATAGCGCCATCTATCTTCTTGTTATCAACTTTTCGCTGGTGCCCACTCCGGATATTTTGGTGTTACGTTTTAGTAAGTGGTCGTAGATGTGTCTCAGTTCATGTCCACCTTAGTCTCTGTTGACTTTAAATATTTATGAAACCAGATGAAATTATTTGAGAATTGAATATCATGAATGAGCAATTTTTCTTTTCTGCTATTCGTTTGCGCCTATCTAATAATTATGGTTCATTTTTCACTGGTTGACTTTTGCTCCGTATGCTATGCTACTGTAGGACAATCCTGGTAAACCCTTCGTGAGTTTATGTTTGCCAATCTTCTGAATTCTGTAGTAGTAATAATAATAATGTTACATTTTTATAGCATAATGCCAGAGCTTCTGTATGCTTACATAAACAGAAAATAGAGAAAAAAACAAGTAACTAAACTAGCATAGCAGTAATAAATTCCTATAAAATATTTTCCTGATGCAAACTCACATCGCGCTTCACATAAAAGCCAGACTACAACAGAGAAACATGATCGAAAATTATGGTTTATAATGAATGGAAGTTTTTCAAATCATATCTACAATCAATAATTATTAATGCATTAATTTGGAAGCTTTTTGTGGTCTTTAATATACAGTAGTATTCAGTAATATTGTATAAATAATTGACATACAATCGAATGTTAAAATACAACCAACATTTTCATCCCTTGAATTGTAAATCTGTGAAATGTAAAGATTATATCCCAGCTTAGTGAGTGTCAAATGTTGAGAAAAATCCTTCGTGAATTGAAAACTAATCCCGGTTTTCTGAAGCATAACCTGACAAATAAACGGCATTCAAGACTATGTAGACACTGACCTGTCATCATTTTCAAACTAAATCAATATTCCGTGTATGTAATGTTTTGTGTTTGAAATCTGAAATCATCTGCCGAACGTTGCTCATCTTGATTCTCGTAAATTGCTTTTAGCTTCCGCGTCTATCATCATTTCATATCTGTAAATGCAGAGATTGAATAGTTATGATAGTATTGTGAAGTAATGGAAAGCCACTATCAGTTCAACACAAATACAAGATGTAGTAGGAGATTGAACCCACCCTACAAAATAAAAAATCAAGGTGCATCACCATTTTGTCAGTATTTCACCCTGACTGATTTTAATAAAATAATTAAGCTTGTGGTACATCATGCGTAAGAATGTGGTTTTAAAGATAAAACAAATGGTTGTTTGTCTCCATGTTTCAGTGAGATCTGGTCTGACTGTCATTACGAATATTTTAACATTTCTAAGTACTTTTACTTTTTTTTGGTGGGGGAAGGGGGTTTGAGTCAATCAATGACTAAAATTTCTATTGCGCCAGATATCCTGAATAAAAATTCTGCCCGGCAGCGCATTCATGACTCGAATATTTAGTTTAACATAGTAGTTTGAACACATAAAATCAATACTTAAAATTTGTTATTGTGATTTTATGTATTATTTAATTGAGATTAAACTTGCTTTG